TATTGTGATGTTATATTCTGTTCCAGTTCTTATCCTGTTGGTATAGTAATTTCATCTACAAATTGGTGGAACAATGAATGCATTAACTTCAGCGTTATCGCCGATCTAAGCCAAGTATTACAAGAATTCCTAAAACCAGGCGAATCCATATCTATTGTTAATAAACGACGTGTTAATAATGAAAACACAAAGTTAATAGGTATGTGGAAGTAGAGTTCGAAAGACTTTGTAGTTTCTTATGTCATTATAGTAAATACAGTTAGTACTTAATTATTGTCAAGTTATACACCACCTTTTATGTGTTCTCAATGTCTAAATGTTTCAGTAAAGTTAAAATTTTTCAATCGATGAGTTCTAAAAGGAAATACTTAGAGAATATAATTAATTTTGCAGCTGAAATATAAACAATGTATTAATATTATATTTACATAATTGAAAAATTCTACCTAAAAATAAAGTTATGTAAAATTGAAATCGAATAAAATACAGGGTGTCTTATTTGAAATAACAAAGTTATTTCTTTTTTCTATTAGCCGAATAGCTGTGTCATCATCCCAGGAAAAAGAAACCCTAAATAGAGATTATGATCTTAATTACTTCTTTTCCGTTAAAGTTCAAGGTTTAAGAGTCACCGTAGAATATTTCTTTTTTTTAGATGCAGTAGAATCGAGTTTATTTCAAATGTATAACGGTCTTGTTTGGGGTACAGCTATACTAATTGAAAAGGAAAAAGGCATTTTAATAACAAATGCTCATGTAGTCGTAAGTACTCTTGATATTTAAGGATTATCAGCGAGAACAGTGAAGAATGTCACCGTTTTTTAGGATGGTATTTTTGATAATGTAATTCACACTATTGAAGGACCGATTATTTGCGATGTAATTTATTCTACTGATTCTAATATTTCACTAGACATTGCAATTTTGAAAACCAGAAAGCCATTGGGACCCGTTTATAAGTCAATCAATTTTTCGAAGAATAAATTAGGAAGGGGTGAGAATATTTAGAAATCTAACTAATATTTCAATGACAGTTTAATTTTGGTCTTTGCAGGTGATTTGGTTTATGCTGCTGGCTTCCCTATTTTTAAAAGAGACACGAATATGGGGCCCACTATTACAGAGGGGTGCATCAGTCATATTCATCCCCACGTTATCAAAACAACCTGTAGCGTATATCCGGGAGCTAGTGGCGGTGCAATTCTTGATCAAACGGGCGGTTTGGTTGCCATCATTGTTAGCAATGTTGGAATTATGAAGCCAAAAACCACATATTTTCCTAAATTCAATATGAATATACCAATTTCGATACTTCAGCCAATATTAGAAAATTATATAACTACTGAAGGTAATATTTTAATAAATATTTGTCATTTAAATTGAATGAGCTAATAATTACAATTTTTCATATTTAGAATGTTTAATTCTGTTTATTTACAGATGTAGAATATCTGAAGAAGATTTCACAAATCAATGTCTCAGTATGGAATTGTTTCTCCAAACTCTAGATAACATATTGGATAATTTTATATTATAACGATGTTTAATAAACACATACTGAATTTTATATTCCTTTTGAATATTCTTCACTGTCTCATGAATAATAAAAATGGCATATCCCTCTGAATATGTACGCATATTTACAAATAAAATGAAGAAGGCACCGTTGACATCATTATCGATAAAATCAGTAAAAAGTTTAGTGATCTGATGAAAAATAGAATCAGAAAAGATTATATTGTCAATGTATATAATATGTTTTTGTCAATGACTATTACTACCCTGAAAAGTAGATACATTCAATTATTATAGATCACTAATTGAATCCTTTCATAACTTTATACAGGAATACTTTTACAGAAGGTCCATAATTTTTCAATAAAATTGTTAACTATTAAATTTTTTAGAACGTGATCTAAATTGTTTTAAAACGTGATAAATTTTTTAAGACGTTGAATTTTAATAAGGTCCGGAATTATTTTCCATATGCCTCTTCGTTCCCATTTACATATTGTTCTACTTACACAATTAAGATTTCTGCTTTTCTGATCACGTTCACACACTATTCGGTAGATCTCTCCATGCTCAAAGATGAATGTTTAATAAATGAATTAGTCTCGCCATCTAGCGGCAGCCTATCTAACTACTGCCATACTACTAGTCATAAAAATTGAAAGAATTTACAGAATTCGTCACACAGACATAAATATCGTGATGTTTGAATCTTTATTTTTTGAAAATTGGACAAAATCATTAGATTATTTGTAAATCCTGGAGAAACCGTTATCATGAAGAGTAATCTACTAAGAAAATTTCATAAATAACATATATTTCTTAGTTTAAGTTGCAATTTTTCTCATTTGTCACGTGATTTGTTGCACATAAGACACGAAGTCCTTATTCCATTGTATCTTACATTTATATTAGATTAGAAATTAGTTTAAATTAATAAATACCTATTAAAATATCAATCACATTTTCCCATTATTACTGATTCAGATTTGTAAATCAGGAAGTTTCAGTAAATCAGTAAAGACCGGAAGAAATTCCGGTCCTCATTAAAATGAAAAGATCACAGCGGCAGGCGATTTCAGGCAGACGTTGTCAGTAATTCCCCGTGGAACGCCTGCAGATGAATTGAGTGCTTGCCTGAAGGCATTACCTTTATGGAATATCGCTAACCACTAATATGAGAGTTCAACTTCAAAATGATCAAAGTGCTGCACAATTTTCCAAACAATTGTTAGCTGTTGGAAATGGAAAAGTCCCAGTTGATGCGACATCTAGATTAATTACTCTTACCAACGACTTTTGCCGATTTGTAGACTCTCAATTAGCTCTTATTGAAAATGTTTTCCCAAACATTAGTGAGAATTATGAGAATTATGCTTGGTTAAGTCAACGAGCCATTCTTGCCGCAAAGATTAATGATGTACACGCACTGAATTTCACCATTCAATAAAAAATTGCTGGCGATTTGGTAACATACAAATCCGTTGATCCCACAACAAATCCCGATGATGTAGTGAATTATCCAACGGAGTTTTTGAACTCTCTGGAGTTACCAGGATTTCCACCACATAACTTGCAACTCAAAGTTGGTACAGTTATTATGATATTGCGTAATTTGAATCCACCGCGACTTTGCAACGGTACTCGACTTTCGGTAAAAAGACTTATGCCGAATTTGATTGAGGCAACCATTATTAACGAAAAGTACGCAGGTGAAAATGTATGTATTCCTCGAAAACCAATGTTTACGACTGATCTTCCGTTTGACTTCAAATGATTGCAATTTCCAGTTCGCCTTGCGTTCGCAATGACAATTAACAAGTCGCAAGGCCAATCGCTAAGTGTTTGCGGGATAAATTTAGAAAATCATTGTTTTTCACATGGGCAATTATACGTTGCGTGTTCACGAGTTGGGAAACCATCCGCTTTGTTTGTATTAACGACAGACGAAAAAACAAAAAATGTGGTTTACCAAAGAGCACTTCAATGAAACGGATAACTTGCGGACACGTATAACGCTTCGATTCAGTATTCACTTTGGATTCACTTTCATTTACTCAGAGAAGTTCAACTAAATAACACTTCATTTTTGTAATCGAAATGAATTCATTACTGTTGTGAAATGAAGTAAAATTTTTCCTTTTCAAATATAAAACAAAAAAAAAATTTTCTTCATTTTTTAATCACCAAACGAAATGTTACATGAAACGAAGCCATCTGGTGGCGAAACGGAGTTCGCCGGGTTTGCTAGTATATATATATATATATATATATATATATATATATATATATATATATATATATATATATATATATATATATATATATATATATATATATATATATATTTATATATATATATATATATATATATATATATATATATATATATATATATATATATATATATATATATATATATATATATATATCTATACTAACAAAAGAATAATTAGATAAAGTCGGAATTGCATCGCGAAGTGTAGACCTCGGTAGCTTAGTTGGTAGAGCAACAGGGCGTAAACCTGAGAGACCTGGGTTCGTATCCCAGAAAAGATATTGAGATTGAACGAGATTGAAAACTTTTGTGATGTAATTTTTATTCCAAATTTACATATAAAATAGTTCTTCATATACAATATGTCCATACGTGCATGGTTAGCGCGAATAATATTCTTTATATACATATATATATATATATATATATATATATATATATATATATATATATATATATATATATATATATATATATTTTATATTTTCAGTGTTTAATTGGGATTGCAGTCTAGGACTAAGACTGCAATCCCAATTAAACACTGAAAATACATATCTACAGTCGTTAAACATTCAACTATATTTATATATATATATATATATATATATATATATATATATATATATATATATATATATATATATATATCCATATATATCAGCAGTAGGAAACCTTTGAAACTTGTAAATTGTTTTATTTCGAAATTTCGGCAGTAGGGACCCGATAACATAAACTCAGCTCAACTTAACACAAAGAAACTTGCTTTACTTCTTCATGATTGGTTGAAACAGCAATGTACAGGTAGCAAACTTTGGTTATTGCTTATTCTATTACCGTCTAGTTACTTATTCAAGTAAAGTAATGTGTCAAATAATAACATTTTACTTAAAATAATTCGAGTATCGATTGCCGTTGATTGGTGTAATTTGTAGATAGATCTACCTGTTTCTTTTTAAATTTGGGAATCTTCTATTCTCTGTCAATAGTGTGATAGAGTGAATGATAGTGAGACAGTAGGTATAGTTATAACTTCGAAGTTTGTTCTGAGTTGAATGCTTTTTAATAGGTGAATATTTTTCTTATTTAAACATTGCTTTAACATTAATTTTGTTTGTGGGGATAATGATATTTTTCAATATGATATTATAAAATGATTGAAAAATTTTATGTGAACTATTTATGATTTAAATTATTTGATATTCTTTACGGAAGCCCATTAGCTCAGTTGGTTGGTCGTTGTGCTAATAACGTGACGGTGGCGGGTTCGATCCCCTCAAGTGCCTACACTATTTGTATTCCTTCGGTTCTTAATTATGCAGTTTCCGTCAATTCGCTTGAAATTGAAGTTAATATATTTAGTTTCAGATGGATATTCGATCGGTTCTAGTGAAATTTATTTATCATGGAGATTCTTCCGGAAGCTCAGGAATAATGATAAACAATGGATATGTCATAACTACCTTTGCTACAATTGCTCCATTTCTCAATCAATCAGATTGTCGAATAATCTCCGAGAAAAAATCAAATCAATCAATAGAAACCAACCTCAAGGAAAAATTTGGAAGTTTGCCTTTTTTTATACATTATAAAGATGAAAAGGGCGGTCCTGTTAGTGCAAAAACAGCATTTTTAGATAAATGTTTTTTTTCTGAGGAGCTATGTCAATCCACCAAAAAAATTTTTCATTATTGGTCTACTGATTCCCCAGACAAAAAAGAGATTGTCAATTTGACGTACTTATTTATTATACTTAAGATAGAGCTTTCAAAATCTGATTTGCAAAAAGATGTTAGTCATTGGTTTGAAAATTTGCCAAAGACAGCATTTAGGAAAGGACAACATTTACGCTGTATGAGTGCAGCTTTAGGAAATGAAATTTTTTTAGACCATTGTAGTGTCGGAATCGTTTCAAACATTATTGGTAAAAATTATTCCTTAATCTTCAGTGATATGCCTCTCTCTCCTGGTAGTGAGGGAAGTCCAGTGCACTGCGATAGTTTATGGTGAGCAGGTATACATATATTTTTCCAAACATTTTGATACTTATGTATGTGAAAAATAAGTATTATTATTAAAAAATGTTTGTTATAAATCTATGAGAAAAATTTGATGAAATTGGAATATTTTTTAAAAATTGTTGTGAATTGAGAAATGAAATCTGTTAATTGAATGAAATGTATATTAATAATAAATCTGGAAATTTTTATATTTCTGATATGATATATAAAATTTATAAGGCCTTTTTCAATGAAAAATTTTCTTTTAGTTGTCGTTTCGTTGCGAATTCAACGTAATTTAAACTTCATTTCAATTCGCAAAGAAACGTCAACTTAAATAAGGATTTTTTCGATGAAAAAACGCCTGTTATTGCTGAAAATATTAAAAACATTGAACATATCCATCAGAAGTTGTTGGATATATTTATTGGATATGTTTATATGGACGAATTTGGTACTATCAATGACAGAAAATATATAAAACAACTAAATTTAATTTATAATGATTCAATAATTTTAAAGAATTACATTAAGTACTAAAAATTGCAGCGCAATGTTCATGTGTGTGTGTTGTTTGAGAGTATTGTGATGTTATATTCTGTTCCAGTTCTTATCCTGTTGGTATAGTAATTTCATCTACAAATTGGTGGAACAATGAATGCATTAACTTCAGCGTTGTCGCCGATCTTAGACAAGTATTACAAGAATTCCTAAAACCAGGCGAATCCATATCTATTGTTGATAAACGATGTGTTAATAATGAAAACTCAAAGTTAATAGGTATGTGGAAGTAGAGTTCGAAAGACTTTGTAGTTTCTTATGTCATTATAGTAAATACAGTTAGTACTTAATTATTGTCAAGTTATACACCACCTTTTATGTGTTCTCAATGTCTAAATGTTTCAGTAAAGTTAAAATTTTTCAATCGATGATCAATGTGTGTCAGCTTAGTAGATTTACTTTGTAAGTAACTTTTTTTCCGAACATAACTGAATAATTAGTAGATATGTATCTATTATAGACTTTGAAACTTGTTTGGAATTTTAAGGCTGTTTTGGAATTTTAACTTGATGAATATCAATAAAATTTTTCATATGAAAAATACACAAAAACCAATTGTAGACATTCTTGAGGTATTGTTTTGAAAATTTAATTGCGTAAAATATTATAGGAAGTTTAAAGGCAAAGTTTCGAAACCCTTAGATAATGCTGAAGTTGAATTTAGCAATTTTACAGTATTATTTTTTCTATTTCGGTTTAGAAATCATTGAAATTTAAAAAATGTGGAACAAATTATTGTCACAACGTTTGAAATTATACAAATGTTAATATGAAGTTCATATTATTATTATAAGAACGGTTTTTGAATATTTTAAAAAATAAATAAAAAAAATTATAGTATTTAAATCTTGAATGAATGTATTGTAATCTTATGTATTAAAATTCTTATTTTTTGAAAATCTTTTATCTAGGAATCGAAATGCAAATAATTATAATAAATTTATAATACTCTCAACACAAAATTTCTATATATTGTACTGTTTTTATGAGTAATTTTTCATTTCACTATAACCTATTTTCCTCTTCAATATGATATCAGATAAACATTACACGGTTTTGTAATTTTGCTAAAATTGAATCTTTGAAATTACCAAAAAGCTATTTTTCCATAATTCACAGGTTTTGGGTAAAATTTCGATTTTTCCTAAATATACGTAGTTTGTTCTAAAATGAAATACTTGGGGAATATAATTAATTTTGCAGGTGAAATATTGACAACCATCATAAAAAATTCTTCTCAAAAATAAAGTTGTGTAAAATTGAAATCGAAGAAAATACAGGGTGTCTTATTTGAAATAACAAAGTTTGCTTTTTTTTTATTAGCGCAATAGCTGTGTCATCCCAGGAAAAAGAAACCCAGGTGTAGAGATTATGAATTTAATTACTTCTTTCTCGTTAAAGTCCAAAGAGTTTAAGAGTCACTGTAGTATATTTCTTTTTTTTAGACGCAATAGAATCGAGTTTATTTCAAGTGTATAACTGTCTCGGTTGGGGTACAGCTATACTAATTGAAAAGGAAAAAGGCATTTTACTAACAAGTGCCCATGTAGTCGTAAGTATTTTTGATAATTAGGGTTTATCAGCGAGAACAGTGAAGAATGTCAATTCTTTTTAGGATGTTTTTTTTGATAATGTTATTCACACTATTGAAGGACCGATTATTTGCGATGTAATTTATTCTACTGATTATAATATTTCACTAGACATTGCAATTTTGAAAACCAGAAAGCCATTGGGACCCGCTTATAAGTCGATCAATTTTTCGAAGAATAAATTAGGAAGGGGTGAGAATATTTAGAAATCTAACTAATATTTCAATGAGAGTTTAATTTTGGTCTTTGCAGGTGACTTGGTTTATGCTGCTGGCTTCCCTATTTTTAGAAGAGGCATGAATATGGGGCCCACTATTTCAGAGGGTTGCATCAGTCATATTCATTCCCTCGTTATCAAAACAACCTGTAGCGTATATCCAGGAGCTAGTGGCGGTGCAATTGTTGATCAAACGGGCGATTTGGTTGCCATCATTGTTTGCATTCTTGAAATTACAAAGCAAAAGACCGCATCTTTTTCTAAATTCAATATGAATATACCAATTTCAATACTTCAGCCAATATTAGAAAATTATATAAATACTGAAGGTAATATTCAATAATCATTTGTTATCTAAATTGAATGAGCTAATAATTACAATTTTTTATATATAGAATGTTTAATTTTGTTTATTTACAGATGTCGAATATTTGAAGAAGATTTCACAAATCGATGTCTCAGTATGGAATTGTTTCTCCAAACTCTAGATAACATATTGGGTAATTTTATATAATGTTTAACGATGTATAAAATTTAACGATGTTTAATAAAACACATACTGAATTGTATATATTTTTTGAATATTCTTCACTCTGTCTCATGAACAATAAAAATGGCATATTCCTCTGAACACATGTACGCACATTTACCAAAAAAATGATGAAGAAGGCACCGTTGACAACATTATCTTTAAAATCAGTAAAATGTTTACTGATCTGATGAAAAATAGAATCAGAAAAGATTATATTGTCAATGTATATATAATATGTATTTGTCAATGACTATTACTACCCCGAAAAGTAGATACATTCGATTATAGATCACTAATTGAATGCTTTTTAAAGGTTTTTTATTATTAATCCTTTCTAATATTTTTATCAAATTATAACTAATGGTTATAATTTTTCATTAAAATATTGTTATTGTTAACTCTTAAATTTTTTAAAACGTGATATAAATTTTTTAGGACGTTGAATTTTAATAAGGTCCGGAATTATCTTCTATATACCTCTTTCTTCTCCATTTACGTATTGTTCTACTTCTTACAATTATTCTAATATAAAATTCTAGGTATATATTTCTGTTTATCTGATCATGTTCACATACTATTCGGTAGATCTCGCAATGCTCAAAAATGAATGTTTAATAATTGAGATTAGTGAATAAAACACACAGTTTTGTTTTACACATATACATATATATATATATATATATATATATATATATATATATATATATATATATATATATATATATATATATATAATATTTTTTTTTTTTTGTGCTTATGGCACTGAATGAAATATTTAAGAAAATGAACACTAGAACATTCATTTGAAAAATTGAAATTAATCAAGAGAATGTTATAGCAGAGCTAGATATGTGAACGTGTACGATGTGATGTCTCCATTATCCTTCAAGGGATAAATGTTAGAGAAATATTGAAATCGATGTCACACCTGATGGAAGTGCGAGACATATATGTTTCATTCTGCAAGGAACTCGTCAGTCGCACCACGTGCATCGAAGTGAGGCAACGATTCAACCTCCAAGCATCTTCTTGTGATTTCAAGTGGAAGATCGTAGAGTAATGAATACTCTACAATTCCATCTATAGAAATCAATAGAAAACACCTCTCTCAGATTACAGACACACCAAGCATCGAAATTTCACATATCTTCTATACCCGTAGGTATCTACTAAATTGCAATGTCTATTTGACAAATATCATCGAACGATGTTTTTAAATGTCAATAGGTTGCGTTAGTAATACGTTTATTCCCTGAAATACGGGAATAAACGCAGCGTACTGATTATTACTGATTCAGATTTGTAAATCAGGAAGTTTGTTACTAAGTAAAGGGAATTTGAAGTTAATTTTTTCCCTAAATCCTAATTACACTTGCCATTACTG